GGAAGCCAGATGTGGAAGTTGCTTGGTTTAACGCTTGGTGCTGTGAATGGTGCGGTCGCAGGTGCCTGCTGGCTTCGCTCCTGCCCGAGCATCCCTGGGAAGGTCTGGAAGCGCCAGGTGTGAGCGCGGGGTTTAGAACTGATTTACTGCTCTGGGTGGTGAGTTTCCCAGCGTGAAGGGGGGGTTGTATTGGGCTCTCCTCTGTGCGAACACAAGCTCTCGTGTGCCAGAAGCACTGCTGCAAAGTGAGCAGTGGTCCTTTCTGTGTGCTTTAACTTAGGCAAAGAGCTAACAGGAGCTTGAGAGCTGCAGCCCATCCGATCCGGGAGCCAGCAGAAGGGGGCACAAGCGATTGCACAAGGCAGAGCTCTGGCATCCTCCGCTGCTGGAGCTTTTGTTGCTGTTGTTTTTCCGCTCTGTTGTAAGCAGTGACTGGAAACTCTTGCAGTCACCCAGAGGCTCCCCCCCCATCGCGTCCGGGGAGGGGGGGGCTGGAAAACCCCAAGGTTGTTTGTGCTCCCTCTCTACTCCCACTGGGCACTTTCCTGCCCCGGCAGGTTCAGGAATCGCCCTGGAGTTTCCCTGTTCTTCAGGCAGATCCTGACTTGCTTCAGGAGCAGAGACAGGAAATGAAGAGCTGCTTGGAGCCGTTGGGGAAGATCATTGGACCTGCTTTGGGCTGGGGGGGTCCCTGCAGTCGTTTCTCCCCAGTGAGGCTCCCTTCCTTCCTTCCTTCATCCAAACACAGCCTCCTGCTCCTGAGACTTGGAGTTCCCCTTCGGGAAGGGGCACAGGGCCCCCCAGACCACATCTGCGGCTGGTTCTGAGGGTAAAGCACAGCTGGAAGTGGCAAAGTGGAAAAGAGCCTTTTCAGTGCAGGGATGGTTATGCCATGACCACGGCATCATTCCAGCTTCTGCCTCCTCCAGCGTGTGTGCTGGCTATTCATTTATTCTCCTGGGCTTTGGAGGCAACCTCTTACTTTGGGATTGTGGAGGAAGAGGAAGTTCCATGCGAGTGAGCAGGGAAAGGACACGCAGTGCGGCTGGGAGCAGAGCCACGGCAAGGCTGCGGTTCCCCACAAGGCCTCAGAAAGGAGGTTTCATTCCTGAAGCAGCTCATGTTCCTCTTGTGCACTGTCCCTCTGCAGGGAATGTGCTCTGGGAGGGCTGGAAATGTATTTAAGGGAGGAGAGCTGAACCTGCTCCAGTCCAGAGGGGATGAGCATCAGCATTCAGGAACCCAGGCCTCGAAGGAGCTTCCCTTCTTCAGGTGGGCTTAGATTTGAGTGCCGGGTGAAAACTTCAAGTCACATCTGTACGTCTCTGCAGATGTTTGTGAGCAGGAAATGTCAGCCTCTGCCCAGGGAGAGGGAATAACAGCCTGGATTTCCCTACTTGAGGAAGCCTTTCAGAGACTGAGCATGTCCCATCCCTGGCAGTGCTCAAGGCCAGGTTGGACACAGGGGCTTGGAGCAAGCTGCTCCAGTGGAAGGGGTCCCTGCCCGTGGCAGGGGTTGGAGCTGGAGGAGCTCTGAGGTCCCTTCAACCCAAACCATTCCATGATCTTGTTTCACCCTTTCAGTTAAGTGAAACTTCCCAGGGATGGACTCACTTTGCATGCTGAGCCCCTGCCTCCTCTCAGCCGTGTCCATCAGCTGTGCTGGTGTCTTGCACAAGTGCTCTCTCTGCTTTTTGATCCACTCTTGCAGCTAATTCATCATCTGTGGGTTGGAATGACAGGGAAGCATGAGCTCTGGAATGGATCCCTGCTCTGTGGAGTCTACAACTGCAGTATTAGAGCAGTGGCTGAGTGGAAATGCAAGACAAGACGTGGCAACAACAGCAGGACTCTGATTCACAGAACACTGATTTCAGTTTTGGGTATTCAGTCCCATTTGTGCTGCTTTGGGTTGTGTTGGAGGAGCCCACAGGTGGGTTTGAAGCATTCCTGTGCAGGTGAGTTGGGGGGTTTAGGCACTTGTAACTGATGTTTGTTCTTCCCCTGCTGTGGGATCTAAACCAGCTCATTCTTGGAACTCTTCTCATCGAGGTAGTATCTAGATAAGCAGTGTGTTTCACTGTCCCACTTGCATTTGATGTCATTTCAATGCCTAATTGCAGATGGTATCTGTCCCATCACTGTGAGTTTGCCGCCTGCCTCTCACATCATCTCCCATGTTGCTGATTCTGAAAATGAGCATGGAAGCGATGGTATCTGTGAGGCTGGGAAGCCAACCTGCAGCTCACTGCAGGCTTACACCCAAGCACCGAGACCTGCAGCCCTCCAGTCCTGCTCTGTGCTCCCCACATACCTGGAGAGGCTTGGTTTTCCCTGGCTGTGGTGCCAACAGCTTCCTGCGCCTTGGGGCTTGTCTGGGAGAGGGTTGAAGCCCAGAGTTACTCTCAGTTGTGCATTTGTTCTAGTTCTGAATGTGTTAGAACACAGAATTGTGTTGGAATGACTTATTCCAAGCGCTATCAACTATGGGCCGTTGTGCGCTGCGGGTTTTGTCTGTGTCTCCCCTCACAGCCCTGCCTCAGTGGTTCTCTCCCGAATCAGCTGTTAGTTAGGGAAAGGTGGGAGAGGGTGGAATAGAAAAGCACGTGCTGATCATTGTGCATTTGTATGCTTGTGGGTAGCTCAGACACAGGGCAGGAACATCATCAGCATGTTAAAGGGGGCTTCAAGGGGCTGCTCTAGTGGAAGGGGTCCCTGCCCGTGGCAGGGCTTGGAGCTGGAGGAGCTTTAAGGTCCCTTCAACACAAACCATTCTATGTGGCTTCCTGTGCAAGGGGAAGCAGAGGCTGGGGAACACGGAGGTGGACACACATTCCAGGGTTTGGCAGCAGTGTGGTTTGCTCAGAAAACGTCAGTTGGCATTAGTGGCACATGGAGGTGCTGTGGCCGCTTAGTCAGAGGTTGTGCTTCCCCTTGGCACTGGGGACTTCCCTCCTGCACCGGGAGTGGGATTCATTGCACTGCACAAGAACTATTCTGATCTGTCCCTCTGCTCTCATCACCTCAGCTGAGGGTGCACGGGAAGCTTCAGTGTGTGGTTGCTCTCCCCTTTAACATGACCAAGCCCGATGGGTGCAGGGGCTGGTGCTGTGCCTCTGTGTCCTGTGGCAGCCCAGCTGAGGGAGGGGGAAAAGTGCTGCTGCTGTGCTCACCTGAGTAGGCAGCATGGGAGGAGCCTGTCCCAAAGCTCCACAGGCTGGGCACGTCACTTGAGTGTGGCCAAAGCCAAACTGTGGTCAGTCCAGGACCCACATTCATACCTGTTGCTGCTGGAGGCTCCATGAGAAGGTTGGTGCAGGTGGCTGGTCAGGCAAGGAAAAGAGCTTGAGGGCAACTAAGTTAAAGAGCTGAAGCCTGGAGGACATGGCTTTTAATGTCACCTCTTTTCTAAAGCTATTGGCTAAAAAACAGCATTAAAATTTATATCACATTTTGCTTGTTTAGCTAATGCTTGACAAGAATATGTTGGGGGGGTAATCTGTGTAGAAGCCTCTTCCAGAGTCAAAAGCTATGTTTAGAAGACTCTTGCCCCCCTTTGCCAGTTTCCACTGTCACATTGCTAAGCCAGGAGAAATGAGGGTAGCATCAGGAGCAATGACTTGGAGTTTAAATGGCATCACATCCTGCTGCTGCTCTTTTGGTTTTCTACCCTATGAGGCAATAAAATGGGTTCTATTGCAACAGGCCAGCAGCTTAAGTTGCTATTTTGGGTGCTATGAACCAAGTCATATGCCAAAGGGTTGGCGGATTTCCGTCTGAGATGGGTTAGGAAACTCCTGTACCTTGCACAATGGTTGAGAGAAAGAGGAAATGTAGTGGGCTCACACGCTGAGTGACATCACTGAATCCCAGCCTGGTTTTGGGCAGGATGGGACCTTAAAGCTCCTCCAGCTCCAACCCCTGCCACGGGCAGCGACACCTTCCACTACAGCAGCTTGCTCCAAGGCCCTGTGTCCAACCTGGCCTTGAACACTGCCAGGTGGAAGTTGTTACTAAGAGCAAGCACTCAGTCACCACTCTCAGCTGTGAACTTGCCATTTCTGGCCTTCCTCCAGCACTGCTCAGCACAGGGCACTGGAGGACACACGGTGCCTCTCCCCTGCTCAGTGTGGAGGGGCTGGGGTGTGTCTGGTTTGAAGTTACTCAGCCACAAAGGAAGGGATCAAGGTCCCACCTGGTAAATGGTGCACTGGGCCAGCCCTGGGCTCTTCTGAGGGAAGGAGCCTCGAGGGGGTGTTGGCTACAAACCAGTGATGAGCAAACTTACTTTGAAAGCAGCTATTTTAAAAAAGATAGTGGGAATCTAAGTGGCATTTCACCTGTGTGGTGGCAGCAGACTAAAACTTCACGTGTCTGCACCAAATCTCTTACTGGCATGGCTGGTGTGTACCAGAAGACAGAAAAGGTCCATCAGGAGGCAGGTGGAGGCACTGAGGAGTCATTGTTGAGAAGGAAACTGCTCAGACACACAAATGCCACACATGGCTGAATACAGACAAGGGGAGTGCAGAGGTCTGGCTTGTATTGACAGCTCTGCTACACAAACTGCTGGTTGTTGATCACTCGTGTCATACCTTAGAGTCCTTAGCAGCACAACAGCAAGTCTCAGCGATGGCAATAAGAATGTCCAGCAAAATAAATACAGTAAGATGAACCCTGCAGTGTTAATATCAGAAAATATCCCAGGCTGGGAGGAAAAAATAACACTTGAAGGGATAAGGCAACAGGAGAACGCATTTCCAAGCAGTCAAACTGAGGTAACGCTGTGTCTGGACAAGCAGTGGCAGCAGAACAATAGTCAGTGTTGCAGCAGCTGCTGAAGGCTCCTGGGTGAAGCGTTGCTTTTGCTTTGCATTCTCTTGGCAGTTGAACTTCTCCCCTGAAGCTGGGCCGTGTTCCTTTTGCCTTTTTAAAGCTGGTAACTTACACCTCAGCGATGACGCCGCCGGCTGCAGAAGGTGCCACACACAAGTCAAAGAGGAAGTGCAAGACAAGATTTTAATCATTAAAAGTTTATCGATAACCTCTTATATACACATAGTTATACACAAAGTGGTTCGTGAGTCCCTCCTCTGCCAGGGTTCTGCTGGTGAGGCTGAAGCTGCTCTTGGCTGGCACCGTCTCGCAGGGGGATGTGAAGGGGGAGCCGTTGGTGGCCTTGGTGACAGGTATGGCTTGTGCAGGGGCTCTGCTGCTCCTCAGCTGGGCACCGAGAGGAGCCCGTGCTCGTCTGCTGTGTCCAGAATCTTACAGATGACGGGAGACTCCACCTTGGGTGGAAGAGATTGAAACAGTAAAGACTATGAAATCGCACCTGCAGTGCCTGAAGGGGCTGCAGGAAAGCTGGAGAGGGGCTTGGGACAAGGGCCTGTAGGGACAGGCCAAGGGGAATGGCTTGAACCTGCCAGAGGGGAGACTGAGCTGAGCTCTTAGGCAGAAGCTCTTCCCTGTGAGGGTGCTGAGGCGCTGGCACAGGGTGCCCAGAGAAGCTGTGGCTGCCCCATCCCTGGCAGTGTTCAAGGCCAGGTTGGACACAGGGGCTTGGAGCAAGCTGCTCTAGTGGAAGGGGTCCCTGCCCGTGGCAGGGGTTGGAGCTGGAGGAGCTTTAAGGTCCCTTCCAACACAAACCAGTCTGGGATTCTGTTTTACAACAGAGCAGGAGATCAGTGAAGACAGACCACCATAGGCACGGTTCTAGAGCAGCACTCTCTAAACCCGAGTAAGTGCTTTCTACTTTTGGGCATGACTCCCACAGCATACTCAGTGTAATTAGTGTAATTAACAGTGACCCTCCTTTCTCCAAGCAGGTGCAACTGAACAAAAAGCAGTACTTGCTTAGATGTCATGTATATGGGCTGAAGTACACTACTTGTACTCTGGGAATGTCTTGGGAAGAGTCAGTAGGAGGAAGGAACCATTTCAAACATACACCTGGAGATACTCTCTGCCAGGTGGCACCTGATCATAGGGATTTCCCCATGTTTTTTCTTACCCCAAGGATGTATTGGCAAGAATGAGGCTCTAACATGTATATGGTCACGGCGTGAGGGGAATCGGATTCTTTACATCTGAAAACAGAAAGGAAATGTTGTGGTGTTTAGTGTCCAAGAAACACAGAACTAAACCATGTATTTCCCTCTAGCATTTTTAGGAAGTTGACAGTCACTGCTTTCTGCAGACAGCAGAGGCTGCCCCCTCTGACACAGAGAGCAGAGACGCAAAACATCAGCTTACTGAGAAAGCGAACTTACTTCAATTTCACAGTCACCTGCCTTGGCTTGTCTGTCAAGTCACAAACATCTCCATTTCCATAGAAATGAGACACCATCCTGCCACAAAAGATGGGAATGAAAATGTTTGGAAATAGTACACGCAGTTCTTAAGCAGGTAGCTAACTTGTGTGATGCATATCTCATCATTCTTCAAATATAGGGGGCTTGGAGCAAGCTGCTCTAGTGGAAGGTGTCCCTGTCCATGGCAGGGGTTGGAACTGGAGAAGCTTCAAGGTCCCTCCCAGCCTAAACCACTCTGTGATTCTATTTAACTCAAATATACAAACCAAAGTAGTAACATACTGTATTTCAGTGACTGCAGAAGCAAATAGTTGTCCACTCTTGGGAGATTTTTCTCTGTGTCACATCCCAAGGGTTCAATTACCTTTTCTGATGTTGCATGCTCATTAGGGGGAAATAATAATAAACCAAATACCTATACACACTGCTCCTGACAGTTGTAGCTATTTGTGAACTGAACATTCACACGCTGCAGAAGTGGCCCTGATGATTATTCCTCTCTATGGCAAACATGGGGGCAGTGATGGTGGTGGTGGTACCCATACCGAACTGTCTGCGTGCCGTCTTCCTGGAGATGATATGTTCTAGCAGCGTTCTTCCTGGCCCACTCAATGTGTTCCTCCTTGTTCCACGTTCCCACCACCACAGAAGTCTTGCCAGTTTCCTTGTCCTACAAAAGGGGAAGCTGATAATTATACCTTGTATGGCGTATTTAGCAGCAAGCGTATTGTAAATGATGTGTAGAATGTCAGCTCTGTCTGACATGGTACCTACATCCCCCTGCATAAACACAGGCAGCACACAGAGGATTTCTTTCCTGAAATCCAACTTAAATCACCCAAGAACAGGATGCTGTTTTTTCCAGAGTGCAGATTCTCTAACCCCTTATTCCCCACAGCCATCTAGTGGCAGAACATGCAACTGTTTAAACATACCTCATGATACTGATGAACGTATTTGCCGTAGCAGAATTCATACTTCCACCAGCCAACACCCTGGGGAGAGGGATCATCTCAGTGTTAAAACAAAGCAAAAACCCACAAACCAGATAAAATGCCCCAAAAGAGCCATGTCCACTTCCCTCCGGACCCTAAACCACTGTTGATTTTAGCTGTCAACTTTCACATCTGTTAATTAGATGTGTTGATTCAAGATTGGCACTGAGAGGGAATCTCTTATCAGACTGATACAGGGAAGTGTATCAGAGATGGAATAAGTGAGTTTAAGCCAAGTTTAAACCTGAAGAGCCACATATGACTAAATTCCTTAAACTAGTTGTGTACTCCCTGTTTATCTTTTAAAGAAATACTTGACTCTTTGAAAGATAGCACAACCTCAGATGCCTTTGCTCTGCTGGCTGTTCTCTCAGTAAGTCTGATGAGAGCTTTTTTTCCTTCTCGTTAACCAAATCAATTCTCAGGAGCTACTTTAATTTCACTGTGATTCTATTCAATTTATAAATATTCTATTTATTTATGATTGTTCAGATAAACTGAATTTCAACAGAAAGGTTAAAGATACCTTCCTGGCACATAAGCCTTCCCAATATCAATGCAGGGAGAGGTAAGTATCAGCTGTATCAGAAAGCAGCTATCACAGTTCATGGAGAAATTAAATACATAAACCAGTTTGTGCAATTAAGGAGTAGCTATTTGATTTTATGTAGCTTATTTCTCACCCCATGGAAGCAGTAAGAACCACTCAGAAATTCCTTTATAAGCTGCTCATCAGTCAGTTTGGAGATGTGGGTTGTTCCCACAGTTAACAGTTGATGGCTGCCAACAGCAACAGGCTTGTGAATGGAAGAAAATTTCTCTTCTTTTGTTGACTGCATTTCTTCCTGAAATGGAATTTTACACAAAAAACACCCATTTAGATTTCATAAGGCCCTTGCAAAGTCATAATAATTAAGTGAAGTTACTTAATACTAAGTGGGGTGACTGTAGGAATACGTATGAAAGCATTTTGTCATTGTTTTCACTGTCTTTAGCATAGCTGAGAAAAAAAGAGCCAAATTCAAAGACTTCACACATCTGTAAACTGTAGGCTACAAAAAGTTTTAAATCAGTAGCCCAAACTTTCTTGCTTTGTTTTCATTCCAAACAAGGTAACTTACAGATGACTTCAACAAAGATTGACATGGTCTTACAAAGCTGGGTAACAGAATTTACTCCATGGAAGTGAAAGTTGTGGGTGCTACAGCATGGAAATAAGTATTTTCTATTAAAGTGAAACAAATCCTACCTCCTTAACCTTTCTAAAAGGCATCTTCATCATTTCTTGCTGTTTCTCCAGCTGTTCCAGATTATGGGGCTTAAGTGGGGATCCTGGCAGAGACTGGCAGAAGATGTCATTCACAGGAGAGGCCCTGAACCTGTCCAAACAAGTGAGCCAAACATCACTTACCATGCCTTAAAGACAAGACACACTATTTTACTGCTCTAAGTTTCTGGCTGAGGTGTGTATTTTCCTTCTTGTACTTGCACTGTCTCAGCCAAAGCTACCTTGTTCTTATAACTGATGTGAATATGCTTTTCGTCCAGTTTAGTCTCACTCCTAATGCTGCCAGATGACTGGAAACGTGATGAAACCCCTCTTCATCAAAGGGAAAAGCTGCGTATTAAAAGGAAAACTGCATTATACATGAACTATGAATGTAGTGTCAAGGCCACACAAAACTCTCAGAAACCAGGAAACAGCAAAGGTTAAACCTGATAGATGCAGTTCCTGTATCATTAAATCATACATTCTTGTAGTGCCTGACATGTATGGCTTTTCTTAGTGCACATATATCCATTATTCCTTTACCACTCTCTTCATGCCCCATCCCTGGCAGTGTTCAAGGCCAGGCTGGACACAGGGGCTTAGAGCAAGCTGCTCTAGTGGAAGGTGTCCCTGCCCATGGCAGGGGGTTGAAGCTGGAGCTTTAAGGTCCCTTCCAAACCAAACCAGTCTGGGGTTCTATGTCTGCAAAAAGTAGCTTATTTCAGGAAAGAAAAAGTAAGAGATGAAGCAGAGTCAACAGAGGTTTCTTCTCAGTTTACATGAAGGCCTCATTAAAGCACCAAATAAGCCTTAACAGAAAATAGTAAAGTGAACATCACAATGAGAACCACAATGACAAACAAAGCATTTGTGCAGCTTTCCCTGCTCCTCCTGTTGAAAAGGGCCTTTTTAGAGAAAGCTTATTTACAAACCAAACATGCAGATACTGCTCCAGGAGCAAGGTGGCCTCTGGTGATGTCCTCCTAGGAAGAGGCTGTAGTACACAGCACTAGTTGTGTAATAATCACCACTGCACTTAAACGAACCTTAAAACATTCCATAAATTACATCTGCACTCTAGATTAAACAAGCCCTGTACCAAAGCAGCCTGGCTTTACCTCAATTTTATTTAAACAGCACTAACAGTCAGAGCAGACAAATACTACCTTTTACTGCCTTCCTCCTTGTCCCCAATTCCCACCAATGTAAAAACCCCTCAAATTGTACCAAGAGAAGAGCTAATGGAAATACTTCTGCTCAGTTAATGCAAGCCCATTATTGGGTAAGATAATGGGAAGAGCACTGGTGGCTGAAGTACTGCTCTGTGCTGTTTAAGGTACACATGACAGGAAAAGTGCTCTTAATTTAACGTGAGCTTGGTTTGTTGCTTCCTCAGCTGAGCAGCACTTCCAGCCTGCCATCTCCACCCATCTTTATTTAATGGAGATGATAAAGTGGGATAACAGAGACCTTTATGTTTATTTTAAGTATTTCCTGCTAGTGGCCAGGAAGCTTTCCCTGCCTGCCCTTTGGGAGGAGGGAGCAGCTCAAGATTTGTCCTTATCAAACAACAGAACAATCTGCCTCTGCACTTTCTAGTTTGGGGCTCATACAGAGGCTTAAAAGAGTCAGAGTAAACAGGTAACAGTGTAATAGAGAAGCACAGCAGACAAAATGTTACCAAACCCATCTTCGTGAGAGAATGTACAACCAAGACTACATATTTAATAGCATAACTTATTTACTCCAACAGCAAGTGTTTATTAAATGCATGATTGAGGATTTTGTCCTTTAGACTCTCTCGCCTATTTCAGAGCAGTGATTAAATCCTCCCTTGTTCTAACATCTGCGTACATGGGAAATTCAGAACTCCTGCCACTATTTCCCCCTTCATTTGTATGCCAGATTCACTCTGGAATTCTATTTACACCCCTTGAACAGACAAGAATCCATATGACTGAGACTAAATGTATCCCATAGGTGCATGGCACAATTTGGGGGCAGGAGGGGAAATCCTAAGCTTCATTTTGGAAAATAACACTGAAATTGTGAATGTTTCATATGAAAATGACTTCACAGCTGAAGGCAGTAAAGCAGGACAGAGACAGATGGGAGTTCCTTAAGTTGGGACTACTGCTAAAATAACATCAAGGTTACGCCTGAGGACTGTACTTTTGTTTTCTGGAATTATGGACGTTGAAGGCTATACTCAAAATAACACACTGATGCAATGTGCATTCTTTAAATACCATGAAGATGATCCCCCAGACCTTGAAGTCATGAGCTAAGAGGAGACAGGCTGTTGTTAATCTGCCTGCAGCCTTAATGTCCTAGTTTGCGTTTCCCCAGCGACAGGGCTAGGAACTTACCTGCTGGCAATAGCTGTACTTCCCATCTGTTTCTCATGTGAGATCAGGCATTAGAGACTTACAAACTGCAAAGATCATGCAATTTAACCTGAAAACTTAAGAAGCCTTGCCAAAGTGCATACAAGTGTCACAGCTCTGTACCAGAAACCACAGCTGGGTATGACTTACATAAGCACATACATGTGTGGCACCTGATGACAATTTAAAGTGGGGGTAGCCAAAGTTGGAGTACTGTACCTGTATTTAGGATGGCTGCAGAGCAGAGGTGTCAGTATAACCACTTCATATTCACAGGTGGTAACTTCTGCTACTGAAAGGATCTCATGTTTAGCTTCTGGGTGACAGATGTACATCACTGTGCTTGACCTGGGCAGGTTTTGTCTCAAGCTACAAGGTGTGCCATTTCCCATTTCTACAGGGTAGTATGGGGTCATTTGCCCTTCTATGTTTTTGGTAGGTATCTAGGTGAAAGAAAGTAAAAAATTAAGAGGATGAACAAAGCTCCTTTGACTCTTCTGAAACAAAAGATATGCTTACACTCTGCAGAGCGAGCATTACAGCATTGAAAACAGCCCCTGTGTAGTCACTTGGTGTTTCTGCAACATGCAAATATGCTCTGGTTTATTACCTCCATACCCTGCACAAATGCACTGAGCCACACATGAGTTTTGATTACAAAAGCAGGTGGTTTCTCTGCATGGGCTGCCTGATGTTTCAGTTCTAAGTCAGCTTGCCAGCTGTGTGCAGTGTTTTGGAAGAGCACCAAGCCAGCTATGTTCACCCTGCAGGAGACAAGGGGATGACAGTAGCTCTGCCAGACTCAGCTCAGGTCTGACCAGGCCCATTACCTTCACTTCAGTGCCAGGGCTTGTAGACTCTAAAACACCCCTGCAAAGTGATGCCTGCACTACACCTTTTGGCATTCCCAGCCTGGGCTGTTCCACATCCAGAGTATCCCACACCAGCTGTTATTGTGGCTAACAAAGTTAATGATATATACAAACCAAAAGTGTGTACAACAAGCTCTCTTCAGACTTGTCCCTTCCTGTTTCATCCAGCTTCTACTTTAGGAAATTAATTCCCCAAACTGGTAAAAATCCCTTTCTGGGTTCCTAACTTGGAAGCAGCTGAAGTTCCTGGGTACCAAAAGTTCTGCTTGTGCAAAAGCCATGCTGGAACCCACAGACTAGACCTTTTCCTACCTGTGTTGCTTGAGCTAGTATAGGTTTGCAGTGCGTGACAAATCAGGCTTTGTGCTAAAAGGTGGTGGTGCCTTCTGTGGTCAGGACACTAAGCTGAGGACCTGAGACCCTTCTGTACCTACTTATTCTGCTTTTCAAACCACACTACCCCGTCACAGGCTACTGATTTTCTCCTCAAATTGCTCCATCATGAATGAAATGATGAGACATTCATGAGGTTAAAGAATGAACATGCCAGCAGCTCAACTGCTCAGGTGCTTCTTGGCTTCCAGTCACTTATCAACTCTATACTTCAATATTCAAAGGTGGGAAATGAAAATACATTCTGTTTGTCTACAAAAGAGTTGAGAAAAAAGGTACCGGGGCCTTCCCTTTCTGTCTTTCTCAATGAAACAACTGTTTTTTCCTTAAAAATAGAAGAATTATGCCTACACATTTCATTGAGGGTAACTTAAATCTGAATGCAGACAGCTGTGGTTTGCACACAACTGAAAGGCACACAGTAGGACTTAAGATACACCTCTAGTTGTGGCAGTTGCTGGAAGCACCACCCAGCTGTGTTGTCTGTTATGTGTTCTTTCCCCTTCCTGACTAGAGAACCCATGCAAATTATGGCTAAATTCTTTATGGACTGAAACCAAGACAGTGTTTGTATATCAGAAAAACTGTCAGTGCCAGTAAAAGACAATTTCCTCTGAAAGAAAAAATAATTTACCTTACAAGGAACTTAGTTTGAATTTCCAAGAGGCATAACTGCCACTGCCATGAGAATGGGCCACATTCTGACTTGGTTCTGCTCCACCAACTTATCTGGCATGTGTATTTTCTAAGATCCTCTGCAGAACCACCACTCTGTGCTATGTAAATCAGCACTGCAAGGGACATGTAGACTAAAAATTGATTTAAGATTTAAAAGGAAGGATAACTGGCAATAAGGTAGGGGTGTGTGTGTGTCCACAGGTCAGATCTGCTACTGCAAATTCCAAACTCCAATGTGCTTCAGGTACTTCCATTGTTTTGCTATCAAGTTAGTGACTCAGAACTGAATTTTGGGGCCTAAACAAACAGCAAAGTTCTCTAATGGAAAAGGGAAGCAGAGAGTTTTATGGGAAGGGTCAAGTCAGCTAAGAAATCTCTTAGGGATTTTGTGCTGTAGGATTTTGTTAATGTTTTTTTTCTGTACCCAAAATGCACAAAAGTGTCGTTAAGGGAACTGGAAAACTGTTACTAGACCATAATGTGGATTTGTGGTTATGTGTATTGTCTTCAGAGTAGAAGAGTACATAATTCATCACATTTAAGTTTAAGATTAGCATAATTTTAAGGTAAATAAGTAGAAGGGAAAGAAGATTGACTAACTAGACTATATAGCTTCCTGAGCTGGGACTGAGAATCAAAATGAGAAGAGTACAGCTCAGGAACAGAGTTTCATTTTTTGATTCTCAATTTGGAAGGGAACTTGTAACATTAATCCCATCACATATAAATTGCCTCCACTATTGATGGCAAAAGTTAAAATAGATGATTTTCACTTGCCTCTTTTGCACTGTCTTTGAGATTTTCTTTCTCTTCTTGATCTAGGGAATAATTAAGAATGAGGTAAGCATAAAATCTGTGAACTTGAAATAAAATGCAATTACATACACAGAAGTTTGTATGGTGTGTGTATTTGCTGGTACTTCGTGTAGATGCTGACAAGAGTCAATTTCATGAACTTGCAGGTGCAAAAGAGGAAAGAAAGGAAATAAACAGTGATCTGGGGTCCAGAGCAAACAGAACAAAATAGGAACTAGCATTGTCTTAAAACACTTTTGAGTGTATAGGACAGGCCAAATCCAGCCCTAGCATCAGAGGAAGGCCAGTCAGGCCAGGAGAATATGTCACTCACTACTGCTGTTCTTCGAGGGGCAGCTCAAGGTGAGTGGATTACAGGCTGGGACAGTAAACAGGCAAGTTCTTCAGCTCACCCACTAGCCAGCCCCAGAGGATACGCTCCTAGGAAGAAGTGGGGCCGGACTTCATGCCAGACTAATGATGCTGAGAGTAAACATCCTTACAGGGCTGGGGTTGCAAGCTGTCACAGGTGAGGATCATAGAATCAACCAGGCTGGAAAAGCCCTTCAAGCTCATCCAGTCCAACCATTCCCCAGCCCTGCCAAGGCCACCACTGCCCCATGGCACTGAGGCCTCGTCTCCATGCTGTGTGAACACTTGCAGGGACGGTGACTGCAGCCCTGCCCTGGGCAGCCTGTTCCAATGCCTGAGCACCCTCTGGGGCAGGAATTGTTCCTCAGCTCCATCTAAACCTGCCCTGGTGCACCTTGAGGCCGGTTCCTCTTGTCCCATCCCTTGTTCCTTGGGAGCAGAGCCCAGCCCCTCCTGGCTCCATCCTCCTCTCAGGCAGTTGTAGAGAGCAGTAAGATACCCCCTGAGCATTCTCTTCTCCAGGCTAAACCACCCCAGGTCCCTCAGCCTTCCAAACTGCTTCAAGACTCCATTCAGAGTTAGGTGAGCAAAAGGCCACTCTGCTTTGCCATCACCCATTCAGCTGGTCCAAATTTACTGTCTCACACTCCTGCATTCAGCTCACAGTGGTTTGAGAAACCATCTATTTTTTAAGAGTAGTGTGAATTGCTATGTAGGAAGCATAGAAAGAATAGTCTGCCACCTAAGCAGAAAGCATAGAGGGTCAACATCCTAAAAGACTCAGATATGATGACTTAAGTATATCCTCACACTTAACTTCAGCACCCAGCCCCATAAAACAACTGGGACCTCAAATTAAACAATGTTTTCCGTACATCTAGGGGGAATTAGGCATCTCTGCACAGGATTAACAGCAGCAAAACCAAGCAACTCAGTAGTAAAGAAATGCCAAGCAATGCAGTTTCTGAAGCTGTGTTTCTTTTCAGGACTAAGATCCCCAACTGAAGGCTGCAGGCAGGAATGTGAAGGAATGGGATTAAAGGTACTAAATCCCTTCCAAGTTTGAGGCATTCATGTTAATCTCTTGCAGGAACAGAAAAACGTGGTGCCACCTTTTACATACTAACCTAGAATTAAAAACCACCAACCTAGATGATGTTTTTTTCTACTGTTCGTATCATCACTGATGAATGAATGCTTACTCTTTGGATTTTTGAGAGTTCTCTGGACTAATACACCACCAAAGTGCTCACCCAGAAGGCAAATATTGGTAGATACAACCACAGAACTTCCAACATCTACTATTATTTACAGGCAAAAAAAATACCACTGCTCAGAAAATTAGTTATTCTAAACTACAGTTTGAGTTTGGAGCTCAGCTACCTAATTCCCACCAAACTCCCATTTCAGTATTTCTAAAGATCTACAGCAGGATCCCTAAAAAAAACACTCTCAAACAGTTCCAAGGTTTGCAGACGATGTATTATTACAGAAAAGCAGAGGCCAAGATGTGCTACGTACTCTGCCCTCTGCTACAGTTTGAAAGACACTTCTCCCCACCCAAAAAGAGTGGCAACAGGCTGTATTACCAAAGTCTGGTCTGTCACATACTGATTCCATTTCTTATATTATGCATTTTCTTTCCCTGACACTAATTATTGCAGATTTATGCATCTTATCATAGAATTATACAATGATTAGGTTTGGAAGGGACTTTAAGGATCATACAGTTCCAATCTAATCAATTAGCATGGCAAAACTGACAGGATGAACGGAATGTGAGGTGCTAAAAGGCATTCACTATAACAATACATTTTGTAACAAGTAATCTACAAAATTCTATGCTATTGCACTGGGAGTCAGTTTTGCACAGCCTGTTCCTCAGGTAGTAATAATTAAACCCCAACAATTAATAAGCATCAGCAAAATAAAATAACCCAAGACAAACCTGGTTCTGATAATGGGCTCTTCATCATCATATTCCCCAGATAGTATTCTTGGATGTTTATTTTCTACAATCAAAAGGAGTTAAAAGAGATCACAGTTACCAATTTCCATCCTTTTTCAGGTGCACAGGAATTCAAGTCTTCAAGAGGAGTTAAGCATGAACATGCCAGTGGAAAAGGGCATAATTTGAGATTACTCAATGTGCAGAAGCCTACCTGTCCTGTTTCCTTCTCCTCGTGGTACTGGCGGATGTGTTTACCATGGCAGACTTCATATGTCCAGTAAGATTCAATCTTAAAATAAACAGATTTCTGTTTAGATACATCCTCCCCGACTCCAGATTCTCCCAAAATTCTGGCTTTTGCAGCAACGAAACACAGCCCAAGCAGATGGCCTTGGGCACGCTCCAAAACAATAGCACAAGGAATGGTCTCAGTGTTCTCCAAGCATTTTGGTGTTACAAATAAATACACTGGGCAGCTTCCTTGACTTTCATACAGATAAAAAATGAAGGAAAATAGTTAAATAAGACGTAAAGACTCAGTTTTCCCCTAAACCACTGGGGCTAAGCTGCAGTGACTCCACGCAGCCTGGTTTTGACAACTGTCATTGATACAGGCTGTTTACCAACTATGCTTGACGCACTCTCCCATCGTTAAGGACTTGTGTGGGATTACACATAGGTGTAATTCAGCCACTTTCATGGTCTCTGTACCACGTTGCTTTGGTATTAAGCTTATTCTTTAATGTAAGACATGAGTCTTAAAGGGGGATGACAGTTGATGGAAAGCTAGAAAACTTTCAGAGTATTTAGAAGCATGTTTGGTTTGGTTTTCTAACACTTTTCATTAGGTTTTCACACATTATATGGCTTGATTCCTGGAAGGAAGTATTTTAAATCCATGTTTGAGATTGCTCATAGATCAACGCCATTTATTTGAACGCTGACATCTTCAATTATACAGACTTTTTTTTTTTATCAGCATATTAAGAGATTCATAAAGCGGTAGAGGTCTTATTTTAGACTGAATTAGTACCTGAAGTCTAAGACATATTTATCCAAACAGTTTAATACGCTAAACCTTGAAATGGACTGGATTGTAAACTTTTGATTAGCATTTGAATTATCAACACAGAAGTAACATACCCTGTATGAACAGCTACTTTGCTTAAAAAGTGGTTCCAATAATTCTCCTGGAGTAGGACCTTTATAGTCTTTTTCTTCTTCCTATAATAGAAGGGTATTTCATTACATTAAAATTAACAGTACTTTGGTTAGTTTAGTTAATATTCATTTGAAACAGTAAAAAAACAAACCAAAAATCTTATTGCAAAATTGAAAGGTACAAGCCCTCATTAATTCCTGCCCTGAAGGAGCTGTGTGGTGATTAGGGGGAAAAAAAAAAGATCATTTAATAACAAGGGGCAAATGGAAGTCACAAATAAAGTAGTCAAACCAGAAAAGTTTTGTGGCCTATAAGTGGTGAAAGAGCAGGAACTCTCCACTTGCTTGTGTCCACAGTGGCAGGGTGGGGTGTGCACAGGCAAACAGCACCAACAAGCTTCTCATTTGTTAGTCAATGCTGATGCAGCATAACTGGGACGTCGCACAGCTTTTATGTAATTAAAAAAAGGATCAAAAAAGCATGAATAATACCATGAAAGTTTATTTCTGCATAATTTTTGCTCTAGAAACACGCACGCTATTGAAGAGACTTCCATTCCAAGTTCTTGAGTATTAAAGACTTGTCACCTAGCCTGAATCCCTCTGCGCTGTCAGTCACGTAAAGGATGAGGGCTGTGTCAAAGTGGGAGGTCCTATCACAGGAGTGCAGCTCAACTGTTCAAGTTCTCACACCTGAACCTCAGGAGGAATAAACGACCAATGATAAACCCCAGCAAAGGCCTCCTCAAGCTACATTTTCTGTACAAACAAAGGCATTTATTTCTTTTTAAATTTAAACCTCAAATTGCGCATCCAGACGTCCAACTGAGGAAGCAACGACCCTAATGGTAGAACCACTACTGGGATAGTACTTACAGATAGGGTGATCACGATAGCAATGTTAACAACCTCTATAGCCATTTACTGACCTAGAATTTGACAACGGCACTTAAAAACCAAGCATTTCCCAATCCCAGCAATACACAGAACATAGCAATCACGTGTTGTCAAATAAGGACTTCAAAGCATTCAGACTGGCCCCACTTATTACAGAGCTAGTATGTAATACAAAGTGAAGGGTGTCCCTGCCCATGGCAGGGGGGGTGGAACTTGATGATCTTAAGGTCCTTTCCAACCCCGACTATTCTATGATTCTATGATCTACCACAAACTGTGAAGCTCTGAGGGATGCTGTAGATGACGCTCTTCTGATCTGGGGCAGGGGGAAGGGGGGGAACTGAAAAGATGCTGTCAAGACTTGTCTGCAGTTTATAACTGCAATAAAGGCTTGACTGAACTTACCTCATTGCCACTTGCTATCAGCGGAAGCAGGCATTTATACTTCTCTTTGTCCACAGTGGTCATTATAATGTAGTTATCCTCTTTGTACAGGACACCAGTCGTAGGCTGAGAAAACAACCGACCTGTGGATTAGTCAGGTGGCTCTTTTACTGCTCCTTGTTAGAAACAGCCCAGAACTGAGGAGCAGTACGCTTAATTCATAGGGGTCCGGGGTATTTCCTGGGCCTCCACAAGACTGAAGGCTTTTCTTGCCTTCTCCTTTGCTTCCACCCTCTGCCTCCTGCCACATCCCTGCTGTTATAAAGGCCGTTTCCTAAAGCAACGCCCCCCGAACCACTGCACTTTTCCAGCAGCCTTTCCCATGTTGACCTCCAGGGCAGGTTCCCCTGGGATTTGCCCAGCTGACAGGCTCAGGCCGTGGCCCGAGTCCTAGAGCTCACCCTCTGTCCTGGGACCCGGGTACCACAGCCAAAACGCAGGGAGATGCTTAAGGGACCCCCCCAGCAAAGGCTACGTGGGGCTCACCCCAACCTGAAACGCTTCTGTAGCGGAACGGCTTCAAACCCAACGGCCAAGCGCGAGGGCTCCGCCGCTGGAGCCACCGCCCCCCGTTAACAGCTACAGCCGCCGGTTCCCCACGGGAGAAAGCCGCTGAGGGAGCAGTGAGCGGACACCCCCGGCCCCCGCCGCGGTACCCACCAGGCTGAACTCGGTGCCGGGCCAGTTCACCCTGAAGGGGATGTCGTCGCTGAGCTGAGGGAGAGCGCGGCCGCCCTCCGCCACCACGGCGGCCGCCAGGGCCGGCAGCAGCCCGCAGAGCAGCGCCGGGGCGGGCGGCCGGGGCCGGCGGTCCCTCATGCCGGCCGGCGGGGAAGGAAGGAGGGAAGGGAGCGAGGGGAGCGGCGGGCAGCGCCGCCGCCACGTCTGCTTCCGTCAGGGCGGGCTCCCGCGCATCAACATCCGGGGCAGCCGCGGCAGCGGCGGGAGGCGGCGGCTGAGGAGCCGCCGGTTCCGTGTGGAAACCGCAGCCTTGAGCCTCACGTCGGCGGTCGTAGGGGCTCCGGGGTCGTTAACGGCTGGGTTAAAGCCTCCCCGCTGCCCTGCGGGTGCTGAGTGCCGGTGCGCTGAGGAGAGGGCTCGCTGGTGGAGGGTAAGAGCTGCGGTCGCGCTCGTTCCGGGGTGACTTAAAAACGCCGAGTTATTGGTGTTCCGGGAGGTGCTGCGTGTGCCGTTGTGGTGCCTCTGTAGTGAGCTGTTGGAGCGAGGGCAGAGGGGAACATGGAGCTGCTGCGAGGGCTGGAGCAGCTCTGCTCTGGAGCCAGGCTGAGAGAGCTGGGCTGGGGCAGCCTGGAGAAGAGAAGGCTCCTGAAGGGGAGGCCTGAGAGCAGCTCCAGTGCCTGAAGGGGCTGCAGGAAAGCTGGAGAGGGGCTTGGGACAAGGGATGGAGGGACAGGCCAAGGGGAATGGCTTGAACCTGCCCGAGGGGAGACTGAGCTGAGCTCTTAGGCAGAAGCTCTTCCCTGTGAGGGTGCTGAGGCGCTGGCACAGGGTGCCCAGAGAAGCTGTGGCTGCCCCATCCCTGGCAGTGCTCAAGGGCAGGTTGGACACAGGGGCTTGGAGCAAGCTGCTCTAGTGGAAGGGGTCCCTGCCCGTGGGAGCAGGGGTTGGAGCTGGAGGAGCTTTAAGGTCCCTTCCAACACAAACCAGGCTGGGATTCCATGATTCTAGAGGAAGAAAAAACATGGGGCAATTTTGCTGTCTGCTTTGGGTGATGGTGACATATGCGGATAACAGCAGTGTTGTGGCAGTGTACAGCAATTCTTAAGCCTTAAAACCCCCTAATTTCTGAAATATTTACTGAGAGAAGTATGTAGAGGTAAAGGAAGCCATGATTCCAGGAAAAATCCCAGTGGTGGTGGAGAAGGTTAACCCTGGATGTTGTGGGGGAATTGAGGTGGTTTGGTTTATGATGTTATGTTCCAGGCCAGGCTTCATTGCATTTTGACGCTTAGTTTCAAAATCGGCTGTTTTAGTCAATAGTGAACTGTTTGTAAATAGTTTGTAATCCCTTGGTTGTCTGCAGGAGAACCATTTCCAGATGGGGTAATATAAATGAGATAGGTTAAAATTTGCTAAATGGCTGCATTGGGTCTAACCAATATTTTTGAGCTTTTCTGCTGTTATTTTCTTGTTTAAAGATGTAATTGTGTTATCTTTTCCTGGTTCAGCTGGTGCCAAAGTAGATAGAGCTGGGAGCAAATTCCTTTCCAGCACAAGGACATGCATGATTTGAGGAAAATGCTAGAATAGCTGCAGAGAAGAGACCTAAACTGCAAAGGGCCAGAAGGATGCAGGCAAGGCCGAGCAACAGTTAAAGGAAAGCTGCTTAAATGAAAAGCTGGAGGAGCAGGCAAATCAATGTAGGAATACTGAGAGCGTGTAAAGTTGGACTAATCAGGGTTGTACTGCAGATGGTGATCAAAGGGAGTGTGGTCAGTGCTCAGCTCTTGTAGAAAAGCCTTATTTATTGGGAAAGACAGCGTGTTTCTAATCTTGTGATAATTATATGGTAGTAAGTCAAGATACAGGGCTTGCTCTCCTGCTGCCTGCTTGCGTCCCCTCTGCCACTCCATAGCGTGGCTGAACGGAGTGGAAAACCACCTCGTAAGAGTATTTGTGTTACACAGAGCAGACACTCGGGAATAGATGGGGTGGGGGAGCTGTAACAGCTGGGTTTCTTCAACATCATCTGCTCCTTAGCTTGACTAAAGCCTGCATCCACGTGCACACCTGAAGGAAGGGTTACAAATTGGAGTTAAACATGACAAACTTCAGGAAACGGTGATATGCCGTGAGACTGAACTGCACCTTAGTTACCTTTTTGAAGGACTTTCTTCAGGTTTTAGTTTCTAGAGAGCAGCCTTGTCTAGGAAGGGTCTGGTCTTTATCATAGAAAAAAAACAGGATTTGAGAGCATGGAAGTGGGAATAAAGATGGAGTGATGCAAAAGCAAAGAAATCATTAACAATTCCTTTTTTGTGTAGTGAGAGCATGAGAGTTTTGATCTGAAAAGGTCTGTGATGCTCAAACTTTGGTAATCGTTTATGCACAAAGCTGTTAAACATAACCAATGGATAAAAGCAAATACAGAGGTGTATGTGTATAAAATAACTCCAAGGGCTCTCTCTCTGTGTCTATGTATATAAATACACACCTGAATGTCCAGCACAGTTTCCAAACTGGAACAGGTTAGACCAGTCCCATCAGAGCTTTGTTGTTTGTTCATCTGTGAGTAGCATGGAGCAGATAAATGGTTGAAGAAGGAAAGACAGAAATCATATTAGTGATCCTACAAAGCATCTGGTCATTACAGAAGGGTTTGATTTCCCTTCTCCATGAGTTTTCTTGTGTTAAGAAGTGCAAATCTGCTGACATTTATGATTAAGTCAGATGACACATCAGTTTTGTCAGTTCCATCACAGTGGGTCTGAAGCAGGCTTATTACCAAAGCTAGGCACAAAAAGGAAGTAAAGTGTTGCATATTCAGGTTATAGATTCATACATTCACAGAGATTGATTCCCATGTGACTTAAATTAACATAGAACTTTTAATTGGAAGATTCCAAGAGAATTTATAGCTACATCAGTGTATGTACCACACAGTGGTGTGACCCCTTTCAGCGTCACAGGGAGGGTGTATCTTGACCAACTGCTGGACAAGTTCTTTTTCTTACAAATGGCCTTAGAAATTGTTTGGAACCAAGTTTAGGGGTAACTTTGTGTGTGGTTGTACAGTGAAAATGTATCTAAAAATCTCTGTAAGTTGCCACAAATTTAGATTTAATGAGAAAATTCAGCATATATGGGACATAAAAAGTGTATCCCCATTTTTGTGATAACAGACCTGAAAGCACACTGGGCTTTTGCTGGGGACTGAAACTGGGCAGAGTTGTGGCTGAAACCCCACACAAGAGCAAATGTGTATTTCCAATGCTGTAATTAACCCCTAATGCTGACACAGTTCAAGACTACTATTAAGCAAAGAGTAGCCAGCTCTTGTATATTCTTTTTCACCATGAGACCTAACAGCACTTTCTAACAAGATGAAGTAGGACACACATTGATGTCCATCCTACCATGGATACCCTTTAAATAAACAGTTCTGGAAATCTTTCCCCAACACCATCAGTAAATGTGATGCACTTTTATTGTACTGGAGTTGCATGCACAAACTGGAATGTTTTGTTACAGATATTGCTGCAGTTCCTGTGAATCAGGAAAAGAAATGAGCCAGTAATACAACAAAAGCTACAGAATGTAGAGCCATACATAATCACAATGCCCCAACACAGTGCTTAAATAATTAAAGAGGGAATCATCACTAACAAGTTTTGAGGAACGAATTGTAGGAGTGGATCACACAGTATCACAGTATGCTGGAGATTGGAAGGGACCTCAAAAGATCATCTAGTCCAATCCCCCTGCCAGAGCAGGAACACCTAGATAACGTTACACAGGAATGTGTCCAGGCGGGCTTTGAATGTCTCCAGGGAAGGAGACTCCACAACCTCCCTGGGCAGCCTGTTCCAGTGTTCCGTCACCCTCACTGAGAAGAAGTTCCTTCTCAAGTTTAAGTGGAACCTCTTGTGTTCCAGTTTGTACCCATTACCCCTTGTCCTATCATTGTTTGCCACTGAAGGCCTGGCTCCAACAATGTATTTATAGACACTTAAGTCTTTGAGCTCCCTCAGAATGAAATCATCTTGGTTGCCCTGAGCAGCTCCCTGTCCTTCTTGAACTGAGGGGATGTGCCATTCTACATGTTTTAACTTTACTACAGCTTCTTAAATCTGAAGTAAGCACAAGAAAGGAAGTGCTGTTGTTGCTTGGGTTTTCTGAGGGTACTATTCTTTTAAACACTTAAATATCCTTGCAGTAAATCACATATAAGTGGTTTTGGTAACAGTTAAGTATCCAGCAACACTTAAGGAGTTACTTTTTAAGTCCAGGTGAATAAGTACATGTGTAAAGGAACATCTTCATTAATGCTGATTTGGGTGATGGTTATCACTGTCCATCTTTGGTGCATGAAGTCACTCAGTTCCAGCTTTGGGAATCTTGAGGGCTATTATCCTGGAAGTTCAGATCCAGCTCGTCTCCTGCTATACCACTGGGGTGGCTTTTCCACTCAGGTACATCAACCATAAACCAGCACAGTGCAGTGGAGAATCAAGACCTTCAAAGGATATTCCATTAGTTTGCAAGTAACTCACATCCAAATAGAAAAATGGGGGCTCAGTACACAGAATTACTTTGCCAGTACAATCAGAGGATTTGCTTCTGCAGTGTAGAGTAGCCCATCAAGTGATACCCCCATCAGGTACTCTTAAAATAGTGGCATTCAACTATCAATAGTGAGTAGTAGCTTCTAAAAGCTTCTATTTTCCCCCCCCTCAATGGATCAATGCTTAAGAGATGCCAGAGACACCCTAAAATCATAATCTGGTATGTAAAAAATCCATCTTTTTGGTTAAATATTATAACTGGTGTAATTATCTCAAATTTAGGTTTGAATTTTAGGATCTTATTTTTTACTCATCCAACTGCCTTTCCCAAATGTTTCCTATTAACATTCATCGGTGTTCTTGTTGGCTTTTATAGGTGGCCAGGTAAAAGGATAACAGCTTCTTATTCTGATAACCCTGATATTTTCAAGCAATTGCAAATATAAAACAAGAAAATGTAAAGAAGAGAAAGGGACAACCTGTATAGTAGAATAATACAGGGTTTCCCATCGCTGATACAAAATACAGGCTTAAAAGCTACTTCTAAACACACATTCTCTGTGCGAGAACATCTGACGTTACATGGTGTTTGAAACAGAACCTTTCCTATATTAACATACAAAAATACACATTTGTTAAAAATGAACAAAGATCACTTAGATTTCTGAGAAGCAAAACAAGGCCTTCTTGGACGGAAACTCCATTTCCTTCTGTTTTGTGTGAAGTAAACCTGCCAGCCTGAACTGGTGGCTTCCCAACCTTCTTCCTATGGATGCCTGTACAACACACTGGAAAGAGGGTTCCTTTCTTAAGAACCTTTTGTCTGTGAATCCCTGTAACAGCAGTTGAAAAGTACTGGCTTAAAGTCTACCCTCAGACATGGGGGATTTCTTTAAAAGATGGGTTACAACAGCAACTAAACACAGGTAATGGAAGATGAGAGTTTCTGAATGTTCTTGCTGCATTGTGACTTCAAGTCATATTCTGAATTTTAACATTTTGGCTTTATTCTTTATATTAGAAACTAAAAGGAGGCACTGATAAGTTATGGCTTGTTTGTGTCCAAGTCTCCTGTGCTTTGGCTTTCAGGGGTTTGACATGAGCCAAGGGGAAGAAGTCTTCCCTTGACAGTAAGAAAGGTTTATCCTCTTTTTTTAAAGACAAAATAATATGTAAAGGGTAAAGTGACTAATTCAGTGCAATAACTTCATTTCAGTGAAGCTGAACATTGAAGAGGTAAATGTTCTATTGTGTATTTACTATGCAGTTTACAACTCTTACTTAACGTTTACCTCTTCAGCTGACAGGGACCCTCACCTTTGCTCTGGAATCAGAAAGAACTACCACTTAAATCAATAGGAGTTGTATTTAAATGTAGACTTTCATCTTAAAAATACTCTAAATATTTCTTTTAAACCTGAAATTGTAATTAAAGTCTTCAAACAAAGAGTTCTCTTGAGCTTTTCAGAAAGATGCAGTCTTTGGCTAAAAGCCCAATATACCAAATTCAAACCTAAATAAAACACTTTCTCTGCTCCCTTTTCTATTGGCTCCTGAAAGAATTAGTTTTGTAATGGTGTGTTTTAGTGACCAACTACTATTCTAAATATGAAAATAAGATAGCATAGTACAGAGAAACATGCCTCCAAGTCATATATCCATTGTGCAATGAAACCATTCCTCTGAAGGTGAAGTAAGATCACTAAAAGAAATAAACTATTGTCCTGGGTTCAGGCTGAAACCACAACAACTATTTATAGACTGTTGAGGTTTTGATGCTTTTCTAAGAGTTTCTTTACTAGTGTTTCTAAGGAGAAGAGATGCTCGTCTACATCCTCTGGTATGAGGTTTCTGATGGAACTGGCAAGTTCAAACAGGTATTCTGTGTTTCTTCCACTAGGACCAACTGCATTCAGAATCTGTTCCGCAATCTCCTCCAGAGGAGCAGGACCAAGGTAGTTAGGGTTGTCACAGGTGCCAATGTACAGCAGGACATCAAATGGCTTTACTGAGGAGTCTTTGGGGTAGAAATTGACAGTTGCAGTCCTGTAGCCTCCTTTCTCTCTGAAGTCCAGGTATGCCTTTACTTCACATTCTTGTCCAGGTGGCAGTCTGTAAGCAACACCCCATACACACCCCTGCTGCAGGACAGGAGAGGAGAAAATCCAAGCAGGGTTTAAAAGGGTACTCGGAAATCAATGCATTTACGTAAAACTCTCCTAAATACATTAATTTTCTTCAATTTTCAGTCCTTTTATAGCTCACACTGTTTCTGGAGAGAGGCACAAACTAAAAGGGTAATTTACAGATTGATCATCCGCTTTCTTGCTAATGCTGAGGCCTTTTTTACAAAGTAATTTGTTGTGACCATTAAATTTGAAGCAGTAAATAGCCTTGGCACAGGCTACTGAGGTGCTGGCAAAAAAGGATAGAGATTTTGTCAGGTCAGGAAGATAAGTTTGTATCTGAAAATTAAAATTTTAAATAGTGCCAAATTTGAAGGAGTTTTGATGAGACCCTCACACTGCTTAGTTGCAGTTTCATGTCTAAGGACCCGAGTGTCACCTACATCTGTCACATGCACTTGGAGGGGTGAGTGTGGTGATCTTACTGCATTGAAACTGAATCAGAAGAACAAGCTGAGAGATAAACCTTCATTTTGCATAATGAAATGTGGCATACCCAGCACGTCAGCAAACAGTGAGGTTAAATTTCATGATTGTCCTTGAGAATCTGAGTATTTCTTTATCCTCTTCATAAATACTTTCTCAGAGGTGTTATCTGACTGTGGTGTGGATTACTTATACTCTCCTACCAAGTTTTCTATAAATCAGTCAGATCTGTGTAGGAAGAGATGTACGTGGGGGGTTTGTTTTGAAGTAGCATAGAGAAGTGACGATGGTCTGTTATCTACTGACAGCTACAGGGCGTTTCTTACCAGTGCTGTTGTACAGCGAATGGTAGCTTGTTTTGTCTGCTGGCAACATCAAATGCGGATTCTTCTGCAGTTAAATTGGTCTGTGTCAGTGCTACAGTAATGATGGCAAAGCAGTTAAGGTGTGTGTTTTGTTGTTGCTTTGGTCTGTGGTGCGCTGTTGGGTTTTTTATCCCTACACTGGATTTCAATATTCAGTCATGATCCCAGACAGTGCTGGGGTGATGGTATTAATTCACGAGTGTTGGATTTTGCACTCAGACCATATACTGGTCAAAGGCAATTTATTAAAAAATAATTAAAAAATCAAGAATAATTTTCTACACATCTTTTGTAGCTGGTTACAGCATTTGATGTAATGAGTGCACAAATGGGTTCCCTGCTTCCCCTCAGCATCCTGAGATATTGAGGTCCTGGAGTGGGGCCAGAGAAGGGCAGCGGAGCTGGTGCAGGGCCTGGAGCACAAGTGTGATGGGGAAGGGCTGAGGGACCTGGGGGGCTCTGTGGAGAAGAGAAGGCTCAGGGGGGACCTGATGGCTCCCTACAAGTGCCTGACAGGAGGATGGAGCCAGGAGGGGCTGGGCTCTGCTCCCAAGGAACAAGGGATGGGACAAGAGGAACCGGCCTCAAGCTGCACCAGGGCAGGTTTAGATGGAGCTGAGGAACAATTCCTGCCCCAGAGGGTGCTCAGGCATTGGAACAGGCTGCCCAGGGCAGGGCTGCAGTCACCGTCCCTGCAAGGGTTCACACCCCGTGGAGACGAGGCCTCAGTGCCATGGGTTAGTGCTGGGAACGGTTGGACCTGATGAGCTTAGAGGGCTTTTCCAACCTGGTTGATTCTGGGATCTGGGTTCCCTCCAGCTGCACACATGAAATGTATTAGTTTTAAAACTAGCCTCTTCTGCACATTTTATTCTCTTGTGTCAAATCTGCCATTCAGACCTGCTTTGGTGCTGACAGGAACATACATGTGGGTGTGGTGGGGACAGGGATTAGAGCAGACAAGTGCTGCTCATTCATTTAGTTTTCAGGACAAGGGATTCCTGTTTCAGGTGATGGGAATTATAACCCAGAAACCAGACAGGAAACATGATTGGGTTTTTGTGTGTGGTTTCCTCTTAACTGGCAAAGAAATTCAGGTAGAACAAGTAGAATTAACTCTGTAGATGAGATGTTTCCAAGCTGTGCTATGTGTATCACTAGTGGAAAAGGACACACACAGGTTAGCATGGAGCTTTGCCACTGAAAGGACCACTGCTGCTTAGTGTGCATGCACAGGGGAGTAACTGCTACTGTCTGCTAAGATACCTTCAGCATAAGGTAGAATTAGTAACTGAAATGAAAGCAAAGGATTTGTTGTATCATTTTATGTTGATGTGTAAAGGGAGATGATGTGGCCACATCAGATTCTGGAGAAAAGGATTAAAAACCCAACCAAGCAAAACTGGTTTGCTAAGGGGAAACAAGTTTCTATGGGAACAAGAAAGTTTGCTTATCAATACCAACTGAGTGACAGCAAACACAACTATTCTTTGTCTCTATAGGCACCTGTGTAACATAATGGTACCCAGCAGTACAGTGATGTGAAACCCCTGACTAGAAAGGTATAGAAATACACAGTGAGAGACTGGGCACTGCATTCTGCTGCTTTTGCTAACTGCAAAGAACAGCTGAAGATTTCAATTGCACTAGACTTACCTCTCTTGGTGGCCATTGTGTCAGGGGAACAGGTAGGTATGGCAGCAAGAGCATTATTGATTATATAGATAAGCAAGTGTAAATCAAAACTAAATGACTACCAAAATACATGTCTTCCATGTCTTGTGGCCTGGTGTTGTGTGGCCTTGCCCTCCCTCTGCTACCATGCCATCCTTTCTTCCCTCTCATCCCCCCTGGAAGCACTAGTACCTGCAGGAATTCCCTCTCCTGGGGAGGAGGGAGGCTGGAAGGACACAACCATTACAGCCATCCCAGCAAGGGGCCAGAATATAGCATGAGCCCAGTGGTCAGCGGGAAATGGGAAAGCATTGCATCTGAGGTGTATCCTGCAACAGCTGCCCCAGGCTCCCCCAGCCTAGCAGAAGGCTCTTGTCCCAGCTGGTGAGCAGTCCAACTGAGGGCTTTCTGGAGGTAAGAGCCCTAGAACTAACCCTAGTGGTTAGCTGTAAGGTGCTGCCTTTACTATCAAACAGAATTAGAAATGGGTAACATGGATTTCAGTGGCTGGAGAGCAGCCCTGAGGGAAAGGATTTGGCAGTGCTGGGTGAGGAGAAGCTCACCCTGACCCAGCTTCAGTGTGTGCTTGAGCTCAGAAGTCCCCGTGTGCTTGGCTGCACCCCCAGAGCGTGCGCAGCAGCTCAGGGAGGGGATCCTGCCCCTCTGCTGCGCTCTGGGGAGACCCCCTCTTGCAGCCCTGATCCAGCTCTGGGGCAGCAGCACAAGAAGGATGTGGAGCTGCTGGAGCGAGGCCAGAGGAGGCCATGGAGATGCTGCAAGGGCTGGAGCAGCTCTGCTCTGGAGCCAGGCTGAGAGAGCTGGGCTGGGGCAGCCTGGAGAAGAGAAGGCTCCTGAAGGGGAGACCTGAGAGCAGCTCCAGTGCCTGAAGGGGCTGCAGGAAAACTGGAGAGGGGCTTGGGACAAGGGATGGAGGGACAGGCCAAGGGGAATGGCTTGAACCTGCCCGAGGGGAGACTGAGCTGAGCTCTTAGGCAGAAGCTCTTCCCTGTGAGGGTGCTGAGGCTCTGGCACAGGGTGCCCAGAGAAGCTGTGGCTGCCCCATCCCTGGCAGTGTTCAAGGGCAGGTTGGACACAGGGGCTTGGAGCAAGCTGCTCTAGTGGAAGGTGTCCCTGTCAGTGGCAGGGGTTGGAGCTGGATGAGCTTTAAGGTCTCTTCCAACACAAACCAGTTTGGGATTCTATAATTCTATGATCATTGAGAATGGTACACTTGGGCCAGTGACCATTTTCTCTCAATGGGAGCTAATTTCACAATATTATGTAAAAGCAAACACAAGAGTTGTGGCATTTAATTCCTTAAGCATTTTATCTGTGTAGCAAAACAATGAAGCAATATCTCCTTTTTCATCACTGAAATGTAGTTGTGATTTATTTCATTTCATTTTGGGAGGGCAAAATTACAGTTCTGACAAACATCTAGGGTCTACTATTGGTGTATTGTCAGCACTACACCTATCCTGGAAGTGAAGTTCTGCATGTTCCAACTGGACAGCTGAAGTGACTACTCCAGAAAATACTTCCAATATACCTTTGGTAGTGACAGACCCAGAGTACTTCCAGTTTCTTCTTTTGGAATTATTGATTTATTTTAAATGATCTAGAGTCATTGGAATGACACCAAGAAATTTTGAGGGAACTTTTCACTGCACTAAAGATAACTGTTATTTGCTTGTAGAGAAGCAAAAATGAATAGAGACTTACTACACAGGCTGGAAATGCAACAGGACATTCGGTACACTACAGAGACAGAACAGGAGTACTGTACCTCAGGATCTTCCACCAGAGTCACAACTCTTCCAGGCTACAATGAAAGAGAGTAGTTCAGTTAGAGGCTTTTACCCTAAATCCTGAGCCAAACCAAACCAAGAAACACTGAGGAATAATGGAAGGGTCAGAGAACTAATCCAGGACCATCTTGGTAAGGTCTGTTCTATGAGATCCAGTATAAATACTTCTTGAGCATAGCTTTGGATTTGTTTTAGATAAACAGAATGTGAAATTCTGAGTGGAAGGTGGCAGCAACAAGGAAGTTAAATTAAGGGCAGGCAGCAACGGAAAGGTTTTGAATGGCTTTGCTTTGTGTGTGCTCTCCTCACTCAATTCTATCCCCATTTAAAACAGTGCCAATAATTCGTTAATGTAAAACTATCCTTGAGGAGCACATCTGCCTCAGTTGTGTTGCTTCTCCACAGCACTAAGTCATGATTTTACTTTCTGGAGTGACAATGAGGAGAACCTCCTCACTTGTAATCAAAAAGGTTATGTACATACATGGAGAACAACAACAGAAATCCTGCTAATGTAGAACTAAGCCAGGTATCACCACTTCTGGCCTGGTTTGCACTAACTGGATTCTACAAAGTGTTAATCACACACTATGACACATGGCAACTTCTAGGTTTATAAGCTCCTAGCTACTTAGATGGTTTGAAAACACACAGCAAAGAAACCTGCTAGTAATTCTTAGTAAGGACCAGGTTATTCTAAGTTGACAAAAGAAGTTTATATTGTGCAAAAGACTGTTTTCTCCTTTTCCCCATTCCAGCTCATTCTTCCTGACTGGGCAGAGGGAGGATATCTTGGTAATGGCTTGTTTTGCCAAGGAATTACTACTTGCTGGAAGAGTAAGAATCCAGTATGCAAATACTGAAATTGGTCATATAACCCAGAGAATACAACTTTAAAACATAATACCCTATGGAGAACTACACTTGTAGTTTAAAACCACTAATCTTGGCATCAGATTTTTTGCAAGTGTACAAATATCTCTGATTTGAGGCGGGGAAAGCAAAGGTACCAACATTCAATTTTAGTATAGGATGGAAATTCATTTTCTTGGGAGTGACAAAGATGATCTGAATGTGACACACTTAGATGCCTTTCAGTTAGTCTGGAGTAATTTTGAGTCTTAGGTGACTACATTTCAGTCTTTAAGGCAATTTCACTGCCATGCCCATGCTTTTGTGTTTAGTAAGTCTGTAGTTGGGCTTGTCTCCCTCATGGAATCACAGAATAGTACTATAAGTGTGGGGTTTTCTCCTACACAGTTACCAGCTGCAAGCCAAACAGGAAATCTAGGGTTTTTTTTTGCAGAGCACTTTTAGATACCACCAACTGTAGATACTACTTATTCAGGTCTATTATAGTCTTAAAGGCTCTTTATTTATAAGCTCTGAGGTGCTGTGGGTTTTCACTTTTATGCCCGGTCTCTCCCACATCAGCCATCTACTCCTGACCTGATCGATAAAATAAGGCAACAAAACTAAATGAATACTAAATGATTATTATTTGAGTACTCCAAGGAAACCATGATTAATCACAGTAACTCGGGTGTTCCTTTTGGGAAGTATTTCCATAGCCATCAATACTTCCTTCACATGTACACTCAAAACTGGTCCCTAAGATCTTGTAAATTGTGGATTAAAGACATGTTCTGGGGTGGGAAGCAGCTTTGTCTTTATCACCAGGAATGATTGTGGCTGAAGCCTAAATACTAAATAAAAGTAAAGTACTGGGGTAAACTGGAATAAGATCTTCCACTGTTAACTGTTCTCAGTGGCACCATAAACTGCTCAGCTACTGAAATGCCTAAATATTTACTGATAGATGAATCCGTGGACTTTTGTATCTGGAATAAAAGGAAATTTGACCTTAGAAAGAATTATAGCTTGACTACCTCTTCAGGTTGTTTTCAGAAAGGGAGATGTAAGTTTACTAATAAGTAGAATCATAGAATAATCATAGAATAGTTTGGGTTGGAAAGGACCTTAAGATCATCAAGTTCCAACATCCCTGCCATGGGCAGGGACACCTCACACTAAACCATCTCACCCAAGGCCTCGTCCAACCTGGCCTTGAACACTGCCAGGGAAGTAGGAAGGTAATAACTGGTTTCTTTAAAAGCACCAGTTTATTTTGCCAAAGGCTGGCCTTTTCTATGTCCTTTTCCTGTGCTCATTATGGGGTGACAGGAGCCTCCCTCTGTCCTCTATAGCCCCCTCACAGGCAGCCATCCAGGGTAAAGCAGGGGATCACAGAGGTGGGAAGGCACCTCTGCAGGTGCTCCAGTCCAACCTCCTTTCTTCCCCCATTCACTTCTAACAAACTAAAAGCCCTTCATTACCGTAAACTGATTTCACCTCAGGTTGATGTGGTAGCTCTACGTGTGCAGATACCCATGGTGTTTCTCTCTGGACACATTTGGACAGTGGTAGGAGACAGCTGGAGCTGTGTTCATCATGGCACTGAGTTTCCCTGGGATTTTTCCTAAGCAGGACTGGGAATGCTGCCGGTGTGAGACTCCCAGATGTCAGATGTGCTGTGCAGCCAATTGAGAGCTGGTGTCAGACCAAGGAGAGGCTGAAGTGAGTGGTCTGAGCTGGGAGGGGGGATTGAGAGGAGGGGAAGCCAAACGTCACTGGTCTGGCAGCAGCAAGCTGTTAGTGTGGTTCACACCACACTGCGATAGGAACAGCTGTAACCCTTAAATGCATTTATACTTCCCTGCTCTTGAATGCAAAAGCAAACTCCTTAATGTCTGAGAAAGCTCGTGTGAATCATGCAGGTGTGTGTTTCTGTTGATGTTTCTGAAGCTTGCACTAAAAAAACTGGAATTTGCTATTTACGAAAACATTTTTCTTCCTTATTCAGTAAGAAGCCCACAGCATTATTTTGCAGGGAGCACTGGTTTTGCCTGGTAAAACTCAAGCTGCTTTAATGTACTATTCAGAATAATCCTCTGAAAATCTTGTTTTTAATTACATCTAATGCATAAGTTGCCATACATTCTTTCAAATTCAGCATCCTGTAAGCTGTAAAATACGGTCCCATGATTAATTATTCTTTATAACTCATTAACCATCTTATTAGAGTATGAGTTGAGCAGTTCAAAGTACAATTAGAGGTCAACCATGTCCTGCGCTACCAGCTTCCAGCCATTGTACCTGAAAGTGCTCCGTGTGGTTTTGTTTGCAGACCCTGGAATGCTGGAGCAGCCAGTGCTTTCAGGAGAGCATTTTAACTTGTTGGCTATTACTTTAGTGCTGTTCTTTGAAATGTGTTAGTACTGAAGGAGCAGTTTGACCTGTAGCTCACCCACAGGAGATTCAATTAATTTCTGATGTCAAGGACTGTAAAGATTTTATAGTTGCCTGGTCTCAGCTCTGTATCCTCTCAGCATGCACGGAGGGAGCCTTTTTGCCTTGCAAGTAGGAGTAACAACCCAGGGACTGCAGGAATCCGAAAGACATTAACTTGTTGATGCTGAGAGAAAGTGTATTTTGTTAATGCTAGGTGTTTTATGTAAAACATCAATGCATTAACCATTTAGATAGTGAGCTGTGTCTTCAAGTCTGTCCAAACAAGCACTGAAATAGAACAAGGGGGGGGGGGGGGGGGTGTTTTAGGGCCCTGTACACCTGCAGATGATGGTTCTGGGTTATGATCTTGACCAGAGGAGAAATACAAGTGTCTCAGCTTCTTAAAACCAAGTATACTTGTGGGTAGTAACCTGGTGTGGGCATTTTGCAAGATGCTATCTGTGCAACGACAGTCACTCTGTGAGTATTATCCAGAATTCCAGCTTGGCCCAGCAGAAAATATCATGGAATCAGAGAATGGATTGGGTTGGAAAAGATCTTAAGATCATCCAGCTCCAAGCCCTGCCACGGGCAGGGACACCTTCCACTAGAGCAGCTTGCTCCAAGCCCCTGTGTCCAACCTGCCCTTGAACACTGCCAGGGATGGGGCAGCCACAGCTTCTCTGGGCACCCTGTGCCAGCGCCTCAGCACCCTCACAGGGAAGAGCTTCTGCCTAAGAGCTCAGCTCAGTCTCCCCTCTGGCAGGTTCAAGCCATTCCCCTTGGCCTGTCCCTCCATCCCTTGTCCCAAGCCCCTCTCCAGGTTCCCTGCACCCCCTTCAGGCACTGGAGCTGCTCTCAGGTCTCCCCTTCAGGAGCCTTCTCTTCTCCAGGCTGCCCCAGCCCAGCTCTCTCAGCCTGGCTCCAGAGCAGAGCTGCTCCAGCCCTCGCAGCAGCTCCACGGCCTCCTCTGGACTCACTCCAACAGCTCCACGTCCTTCTTGTGCTCTTGCCTCAGAGCTGGATCAGGGCTGCAGGTGGAATCCTTATGCCTTTCCTGGACAAGGAGCTCTTCTAAAGCCATATTCCCACTTGCGAGTGGAGCTACCAGGGTACAGGTTAGATGCCATAGGGAGCATTAGGAGAACACTTCCACGGTACAAACCCAGCAGTCAGCGTGTGCCCGTTGTTGCAGAGCTGTGTGGCAGTGGCTGTTTCTATACACTGTGATCAGCTTGTGTTTCTGATCAGAAATCCTGAGCAGCATCTGCAGCCCTAAAAGCTCTGCCCCATCCTCATTCATCTCCAGTGCTGGGTGCTTCTGTAACCTATTGTGTCTAATATTTGTTGAGCTCTTTAGAATTACAGAAGAGCCACAGCCCTTCTGTATTTGGGAGGGTGGTACAGGCTTTCAATGGGGAGTAAGACTGTTCTCACTCCTGTGGTTTCAAAACAGCTATGTTTACATGAAATTGGGAACACTCACTTCTGGAATTGTAGTTTCTTTTTCTTGGTGACTTTCTTCCTATTTTCAAACAGTACTTCCTCCTCCATGACTTTCCTTTTGAAAGTAGAAAGGCTCAAAACTGGTGAGGTGGTTGCTCAGGTCGACACTTCTGGCCTTTCCTTGCTAACTAACTCACCTTTTCCTTGCTAACTAACTCACCTTTTCCTTGCTAACTAACTCACCTTTTCCTTGCTAACTAACTCACCTTTCTGTTCAAAGCCTGACACCCACACTGAAGTATTCTCCCTTAGTTACTGAGATGAATGTCTATAATAAAAAACATGGTAAATTTTGAGCTGTTAAAAGGACTGGTGGTTATTTTTGTTACCATTCTCCTCCTCTTTGAGGTTCATTTTGTTGTTTGTTGGGTTTTTTCAATTGCTAGTACAGAAGAAGGGCATTTGGACACGGGCCTGCAGGGACAGGCCAAGGGGAATGGCTTGAACCTGCCAGAGGGGAGACTGAGCTGAGCTCTTAGGCAGAAGCTCTTCCCTGTGAGGGTGCTGAGGCGCTGGCACAGGGTGCCCAGAGAAGCTGTGGCTGCCCCATCCCTGGCAGTGTTCAAGGCCAGGTTGGACACAGGGGCTTGGAGCAAGCTGCTCTAGTGGAAGGGGTCCCTGCCCGTGGCAGGGCTTGGAGCTGGATGAGCTTCAAGGTCCCTTCCAACACAAACCAGGATAGGATTCTATGAAGAAATCCAATTGTTGAGCTTTGGGAAACACTCCTCGGCACGATGCAATGGATGATAAATCAGAGTGGAAACACTGCGCCTCTGCCCTATACAGAAGTCGCCTGGAGCGGCAGGAAGCGGCTGCTGCTCGCAAGAGGGACTTAATTCAAGGGTAAAAGCGTGGCCGAGGCCCCGCAGCACGGAGCTCCGCACCCGCGGAAGGGCCGCGCTGCCCTTGCGCAGGGGAGGAAGGAGGCCGGTGTGTCCCGCGCGGCCGCGTCCCGCCTCACCTTGCCCGGCACGCCGCGGTGGTCCGTGCTGCCCTGCCAGAACCGGCGGCTGTAGCCCAGGATGCGCCCCACCATCTTCTGCTCGTAGGGGAAATCCACCTTCCAGATGAGGGAGCCGTAGCCGAACACCCACATGGCCGCCCGCCTGCCCCACTGCCGGGCGGCACGGCACGGCACGGGCCTGCGCACTGCCGCCGGGAGCCGGCTCCTCGCCGTGTGGCTGTTGGCCGGGGGAATATTACCACCACCACCACCACCACCCCCCCGCCCTCCGAACTGTGTGCAGGGAGCCACTGGGTACCTATGGCACCCCCAAAACCGCTGCAGAACGAAGCAAACCGACCTCATACGTGTTCTGTGCTGACAGGCGCCTCTTTCCCCTCCTCTCCTCCCCTTTCTTCCTCCCGCAGAGCTGGCCGGACGCAGGGATGGATTTCACGGAAGCCTACTCGGATCGGTGTTCTGCCGTGGGGCTGGCGGCCAGGGAAGGGAACGTTAAAGTGCTGAGGAAGCTCATCAAGCAGGGGTACAGCACTGACGTTCCCGATAACAGGGGCTGGGTGCCAGTCCACGAAGCAGCAGCTCGTGGTTCGAGTGAGTGCCTGAGGCTGCTTGTTCGTGCAGGTGAGGAAAACCTGATGTGAAGTAGTGGGGTTTTCTGCTAAATTACACTGCCATTAGAACACATAGATTTCTTTCACCGTATTCTTAGTTATTTTGTGAATTTATATGTGGTTTCCTAGATACCGACTCTACATAGTAAAGAGAAATGGGCACATTGTAGCCTGTGAATGACACTGGGTTTTACTCTGTCTTCTCTGCCCAAAGCTGTTATCTGTGTAGGGCCAGCAATAACTGACACTGCTGCTTGGAAGGGGTGATAACAACACGTTTGCGCATACACTGTAGGCCACAGATCTCAAATAACTGGGTTATGTGAAGAAAATAACTGTGGTTTATAATCCATTACTAAATACACTCTCATTTTTCTCTTTCATTACTCTCCTGTAGCTCCATCTGATGACTATGTGAACTCCAAGACGTTTGAAGGGATGTCTGCACTGCACCTTGCAGCACGCCGTGGCTCTGTGGAAAGCATCCGTGTTCTCCTGGAGGCCGGGGCTGACCCCAATGACGTTACCATGGAAAGAACCACCCCCCTGTTCCTAGGTGACATGAGCTTTCTTGGGATCTCAGAACACCCAATGGGTGGGGAAAAGCTTATTCACTGAGTTTAAACTCACCAGAGTTCACTCGCTGCCTACCAGACTTTATGTTTTAGTAGCCTAAATAAAAGGCTTTCGACTCAGAGATGGAGCATGACTAGGAATTACTTTTCATTTATGGATAATTCTGCTTCAGGCTGTGTGTGCAAACAGAACTATGAAACCAAATTGGCTTTCATCACCACCTGCTCTTTCTTTCTAGCAAAGAAAAATAGGATTACACCTGTATGGGGGTGTTTCAATTCTTATTCTAACTCCTTCCTACTTCTTCTGTGAAACGCCTCTTATTCTTTCTGCAGTTCCTAGTTTAGCAGTTACAGCAGTTAAAAGTCCATTATTACAGTTTTTTTCACTGTGATTTGATGTAAATAATAGCTTAGAACAATTGGCAACAGGTAGCACTTATGGGGGAATCATCATTAAAAGCACGCTGGATAACGATAATTAAGACTATGTATGTAGATTAGACAAGGGCAAAGAATGGTTCTGGGGCTGTGTCCATGAGAGAGTTAAAAAGGACCAAGTTTCTGGTCAGGTTAGTGCAGGCTCTGTGGTGGAGCTATGGCACAGCTCTGTGTTGGATGTCGAGTACTACAAGCCAGAGGCACTGCTCTGGTGGGGAGCAGTGTGTGCCACAGGAAAGAGGGAGGAGAGAAGCTTGCTGTTACCTGTGTTAGCACAGGGTAGGTGGGGTTTTCACAGGTCTAACTAAAAGCTCTGCAGTCAAATTTCCATTCTCCAACACTGCTTTGGGGCTGTAAGTGTAAAAGGCAAGGAAACAAATATTGAAGGTGAGTTTAAAAGAATTCAGTTTAAGGTGAGTTTAAAAGGATTGTGATTATTGTGCAGGGAAGTGAGCGGTGAGACCATCTGAGTTTTTTAGGGAGCTCTTGAAATCCATTTAATTGGAATGTCTTGGCCTCTTTTTTTCCTGTTCCATTCCCAGCTGTTGAAAATGGCAATACAGACTCTGTAACCTTCCTGCTCCAACATGGGGCGAATGTTCAAGGACCTCATTCCTTGTCTGGATGGAATTCTTTACACCAAGCTTCTTTACAGGTAACCTGTAAGTGTATCATATAAATTCCATGTAACTGGTGTATTCTGAGTGATAACTTCTGCATTTCTTGGCCTCTATATAGAAGTGTTTTTCCTAACCTACCCTATAGTCAGAATGGGATCTAAAGGCTGAAGTGCTTGCAGTGCTCTGAAGTGGAGCTGAAACTGCAGGAGATGCTGATGTTGGGAAGCAATAATTATTTAGAAGCATTATTTAATCAGTGTTGATTAATTAATTAGAAATATTGCATGTACTCCCAAGCTTACCTGTTGGATTTGGGAAGTGAATCTCTTACAGGATATTTTGACACAGAGTTCTGTCTAGTATCTCATCGTCAGTGAGATGTGAGACCTGTTTCTGGATATGTTAATGGCTCTTAAACTTGTTGATGAATGATGCTAATAATTTAATTTCTGTTTGTATGTATCCTTTAAATGAGCAAGTGTGGAAAAATCAAATGAAATCTGTCTGATTGTTTGCCAGTAAATTCTCAGTATATCTTTAGAATTGAAGTATATTCTTATTTCTGCTTAGAATGTGTGGAGAAAAGGAGATTATGTCAGTGTCCTGCTGCTTTGTTGTTTAAGAATACAAATATCTATTTCAGGAATGCACTGAGATCATTCAAATGCTCCTGGAGAAAGGGGCAGGCAAGGAATGTAAGGATGACTTTGGAATTACGCCGCTCTTCGTTGCTGCTCAGTATGGAAAGCTGGAGAGTTTACGACTGCTCATATCCCATGGTAATAGTGATCACCCATTTAGCTTCACTGTTCTTAAACTTCCGTCACCCTGTCACCACTTTAGTTCTGCTCCTGCACTTCAGAACTTCACATTTTGCCATTTTTAAATGTAGTTTTAGTTGTTGATGGATGTGCAAAACCATCTTCATTGCTTAAATTTAATATAGTTGTCAGCAAGTGATGGTAGGACATAAGAAATTAAATAGCAAATTAAAAGATCAAGGATCATTAAAGGTCTTCTAGAAGCCCTCCATAGTGCTACACGAATAGACTGGTTTTGATGACATTGCTCTTGTAATACGATATAGACTCGCAGACTCAGCCAGGCTGGAAAAGCCCTTCAAGCTCATCCAGTCCAACCATTCCCAGCAGTGCCAAGGCCACCACTAACCCACGGCACTGAGGCCTCGTCTCCACGGGGTGTGAACCCTTGCAAGGACGGTGACTGCAGCCCTGCCCTGGGCAGCCTGTTCCAATGCCTGAGCACCCTCTGGGGCAGGAATTGTTCCTCAGCTCCATCTAAACCTGCACTGGTGCAGCTTGAGGCTGTTTCTTCTTGTCCTGTCACTTCTTCCTTGGGAGAAGAGGCAAAGAGAAGATACCTCTCTCTGGTCATGGAGTGACAGCAACAGTTTCACATAATCACTAAGTTTTGTATATGTCCAAGTTCATGTGTCCTTACAACCAAAATGAATTGCCGTAACTATTAAGCCTGATGGAGCCATGACCTGACCATGTAAAAAGTTCTGGTGTCCTCAAAATAAAAAGGACATGGAACTGTTGGAACAAGTCCAGAGGAGGCCACGAGGATGCTCAGGGACTGGAGCACCTCCTGTATGAAGACAGGCTGAGAAAGTTGGGGCTGTTCAGCCTGGAGAAGAAAAGGCTGCGTGGAGACCTCAGAGCAGCTTCCAGTGTCTGAAGGGGGGCTATAAGGATGCTGGGGAGGGACTCTTCATTAGGGACTGTAGTGACAGGACAAGGGGTAACGGGTTCAAACTGAAACAGGGGAAGTTTAGATTGGATATAAGGAGGAAATTCTTTACTGTGGCTGCCCCATCCCTGGCAGGGTTCAAGGCCAGGTTGGACACAGGGGCTTGGAGCAAGCTGCTCTAGTGGAAGGTGTCCCTGTCAGTGGCAGGGGTTGGAGCTGGATGAGCTTTAAGCTCCCTTCCAACCCCAACCATTCCATGATTCTGTGCTTCCTTAATGCTGCAGAAAACCTCTGTTGTTACGAAGTTGCTCTGTGAAAACCAGTTCATTTGTTGTTTATTCTGTGTCCTGCAGAGGTGATTTAAAGTGCTACCTTTTTCCCTCAGGTGCAGATGTAAACTGTCAAGCCAAGGACAGAGCCACTCCGCTGCTGATTGCTGCCCAGGAGGGCCACCTCGAGTGTGTGAGGCTGCTGTTAGCCAGTGGGGCAGACCCAAACCTCTACTGCAATGAGGATAACTGGCAGTTACCTATTCATGCAGCTGCTGAAATGGGCCATGACAAGTAGGTGGTGAAAGGGACATTCAGACAGAAGAGTCTGGTAATAAAAACTTAATAGACAAAGATGAAGTTCAGCTTTAAAAGGAAGAAAAATGAGTTCTAGTTGATTTGTAGTTTATAATTCCTAATTATATTTGAATATTAAATGTCTCTTTGTAGTCACAGTAAAGTGACTAACTGTATGAAATTCAGCGTCTCAGCTGGGTCAGATCCATCTCCTGATGAGCTGAAAGTGGTTTCCACAGTGCTGAACCAATATCAATTCATAGAATCATAGAATAGTTAGGGTTGGAAAGGACCTTAAGATCATCCAGTTCCAACCCCCCTGTCATGGCCAGGGACACCTCACACTAAACCAGCTCACCCAAGGCCTCGTCCAACCTGGTCTTGAACACTGGCAGGGATGGAGCATTCACAACCTCCCTGGGCAACCCATTCCAGTGCCTCACCACCCTCACAGGAAAGAATTTCCTCCTTAGATCCAATCTAAACCTCCCCTGTTTAAGTTTTAACCCGTTACCCCTTGTCCTGTCACTACAGTCCCTAATGAAGAGTCCCTCCCCAGCATCCCTACAGGCCCCCTTCAGACACTGGAAGCTGCTCTGAGGTCTCCACGCAGTCTTCTCTTCTCCAGACTGAACAGCCCCAACTTTCTCAGCCTGTC